ATATATACACATATATATATATATATATATATATATATATATATACATATATATATATATACATATATATATATATATATATATATATATATATATATATATATATGTATGTACATCCGAATATGTTATTGTAATCAATTCTGTCGTGCTGCTTGAGATCTTCTCGTTTAAACCTTGTAGTACCGATGCTAGTCCAGTATAACCCGTGAAGTTGAATTCGCAATAGTTTGATACTATGACCAATAGATTGTGTATGTATGTATGCATGCATGCATGTATGTATGTATGTATGTATGTATATGATAGTACTAGAATATGGCTATACATGTATCCAATAAACAAGTCTCAATATCTAAATTTGAGGGACTCCTGCGTTTCAAAATTTGTGTACCAGTGCCAGATCAATTGCTCCAATGCGTGTAGTGTTCGGAAGGTCTCAGATACAAGGATCCGTTTTGCCACCCATACTCGTATACACATATGTGGGTACGTACTCAACAGCGGTTTAGTAACTAAAACCAGGTTTTTCTATCAGGGTTAGCACCTCCATGTCGACTGGTCGGGGTACAGCACACAACAAAGTAGTGTAAGTGGTCTGGACACGTATCCGAGAAGAGACGTCACCACTTACGTACATATTTAATGTAGCATGTACATGAACTAACTGCGAATACGGATGATAGAGGTTTATAGAAAACCCATGAGCTGAATCGGGTATGATAGTCATACACACAAAGTAGTACACGCACCTGCTCACTTCGTTTATCGTCTCCCAGCCCATTCAGGGTGTTGCGACTCATCTCCACACTGTTGACGCTTGCAGCATGCGATTGCACCGACTGTGTTACCACATAGTGAGATCATGAGTAATATATATAAGAAGCCTAATCAGGAACAGAAAGGGGCACAGTGTTGAAACAGTTCCATATTTGTTAAACAGAGTGTACGCTTTGAAGAGATTGGAGGACAGCACAGTAGTGCACTCCGGTGCACAGATCCCGCAAGTAATTCATACCCACCCGCAAGCACGCACAAACACACACATACACACACCCAAACCCACACCAACATCCACACTCACTCTCTCTCACACACGCAAACTCACTATATAAATATATATATATAATTGCATATATAATTGCATATATATACA